GCTCTTAAATACAATTAAATAAATACGTGTTTTAACAATTTTTGAATTTCATCCCATAAGGCGGTAAAATAATAAGAGGATGAAACTTTGTATGAAACCTACTCAGCTTCAAGTATATGAGGACAGAGAAAATATTGTGATTCTAATGATACTGTTTACCTTTGTAAGGTCATCATCTACTTACCTGACCTGAGTGACTAGGATAATTAACGTTTGGTTATCGGAGTATTTTGAACAATTATGTAGGTATTTATTTTATGTATTTTCAAACATGCCTTCGAAGGCATGCTTAATCCTAGGATACTCTCAAATATTTTAGATCTTTTACAATAAAACAGCCGATGCAAATCTAATACATTTCGATATGATCTTAGAATACTGTAGGCTAGCACCGACTTCGAAAATATCTGATTAAGAAGAAAGTTTTTTAATAATATATTCGATTAAGCAATTTATTTAAAAAATATATTTATTGTTGATTTTTTTTAAAACCGCTCAACCGATTTCGATAAAATTTATATGCGACCACCTGGGACCACCACCACCCTTTGAAACAAAACAAAAATTTTTCAAATCGGTTCAGTCGTCTTCGAGTAATCGGTGAACATACATTAAAAAAAAAAGATTCCGACGAATTGAGAACCTCTTCGTTTTTGGAAGTCGGTTAAAAAAAGGTAAAGTTTGTGATGTTGTAGGGGGTAATCTTTTGATCTACTGAACCGATGTAGATGAAATTTGGTTAGAAGATAGTTTGAGTCCCTGAGAAGGACATAGGATACTTTTAATCCCGGAAATCATCCCTTAGAGGGGTGAAAATGGGGATGACAGTTTGTATGGGGTATCAACCTAGGGACGAATCCGAGCGAAGCGATAGTGAATCGCTAGTATTATATATGAATACTAGCTTTGCCCGCGGCTCCGCCCGTCGTTCAGATGACCAAAAACCAAATTCTTAGCTTTTACGTATTAGTATACTCTTACATTGCAGTTTTTGCATTTTTTCTCAGAAATGAGACATTTTCCTGCGGTAAACAGTATCCTATATGTTGATCCGGATAACCAGCTATCACCATACCAAAATTCATTAAAATCCCTCCAATGGTTTTTCTATGATGCGGTAACAGACAGACAGACAAACATTCTAAAAACTATAGATTCAGCCTCTGTATCGATAATAATGTTTATTTCAATAAGATTTTCCAAAAAATATTTAATGTACAGATTCGGCTTAGTTACAATTATATTATATGTATAGATTTAAAGAATAACTTACTACTGGCTTACAAACACCTGCAACAATAATCATTAACTCAATAGTGTTATTACAGATGGTAACTAATTTGTATTACAATGGCAATGATAGCTAGTCTACTATATATGTACATGTACATGCTTGTTATTGTATAATAATATTGAGGCAATAAGCTAATAATGCTCTAAAACTATAGAACCTAATCTTAGACAGTTTCTCAATCATGACCTTCGTAAGTAATTTATCTTTTTATTTAATGATACTAGCACCTGGAGGTGTTAAATTTATTGAGAAAATCTATTTACTAATAAGACGTAGCCTAAGTAGATAAATTTTAAATGTAGCAACATTTACGCACGTCACATATCTCAAATGGTTTCCAAGAGCTGGAAGTGTTCGTGATGTTCAACACTTAAGGCTATTCGATTTACGAGTCGATGTCGGTGATAAGTGGTTCCAAGTTTTGTATTGGTGTAACTACGAACGGAAACACTATTAAATAGCTTACATAAGATTTATAACCTACCTACTAATATTATCGTTTAAATTGTGTGAATAATAATATTAATAATGCTATGACATGAAATTTAAACTAAACAATTTTTTTTGAATATTTTATATAAATAAGAATATTCTTCTATATTTAACACATTAAAACAGTGTATTTTTTTTAATTTATGTACTTATCTATAACGAGCTATATCGAGTTAAGATCATAATCGTAGCTATCAAATAAATGAAAATAACATAAATCTTTGTAGGTGTTTCAGATATCGTCTGTCAAAAAAGTCAAGGCAAGTCACGAAGGCCCGGATATTGGAGGCCAGAGGCAACGGAAGGGCGCGCCATAACCGTAACTCACGACTGCAGTAGTGACGTCGTACGCTCACAATTTACGTATTCGCGCGCGATTGCTTTCGAATATCCATAGATGCAAAAGCTCAATTGGTTTAAGCTAAATAAAGATTACTAATTTTAGTTTTAAATGATATAAAAAGACCGACGTAGGATAACGGATCATAAGAGGATGAGCAAATAAGTATAATTGTGGTTTGATTAGGTACATGTTTAGTTCGCGTGCTAAAACAAGTACGCAACTGCCAAGTATACTCGTTGGCGATCCATCCAATTTGAAATTTCGCCCTAAAACCGCACGTCAGAGCCGCCATTTTGTTTCGTATCTTGTGTGTTTTTATGTATAATGTAATGCGGATTTTCTTTCTTTATTGGCTTATATTATTTAGGTATACTTAAGAAATATTTGAGTTTTTGACATATTTACGAGCAATGACAATAAAACTAAGACGGCACAAGGGAACATCAAGTTTTTGAAAATTATTCGTACAGGGACATAAAATGTTGATTTGCTTTAGGAGAAAATTATTTTTTTAATGGTTGAATGCTGGTTTTCTTTCTGAAGTATATCCGCGAGTAGCACGCGAGTTAATGCAGTGTGTGCGTCTCCTACTTGTGAAATGTGAAACCTTCAACCAAGATTTTATAGCTCGTAAGATTATCATTCCTGAAGTTTTATTGGGACAGTCATAACATACTACTAACATCTACAGTTTAATTTAAGCATGATAGTGAATGTTTGGTTCCTTCTTTCGTTAAAATCAAAACCAAGTGCTTTGAAAAATTAATCCCTCTACGACCGCGGACACGCCGGCGTTACAGTTAACAGTAGATTTCTTAGAAATTTACCTCGAGGTGATAATCCCTCAACGACCGCGGACGCGCCGGCGTTACAGTTAATAATAGATATTTTTTTCTAGTCGATCTCCTAGTGATTGAAAGCGCCTGAGAAAATTTTCCCTAAGTAGAAACGAATTGCTCTCTGAATTTTCTCTCTTCTAACAGCAAAGATTAATTTAAATGTTTATTCCGTTTCATTCTTTATTGATTTTTGCGAACTCTTCTTTGTGGATTTCGACCTCTTGGAAGCCGATCATCTCGATTTATTTATCTATTTTAAGGCTAAATCTAAACGTTTTCAGTTATTTTAACATTCAAATAAACTTAAACAAGAAGCCACCGTGTTCTTGGTTTACCACTCTCGGTTACGATTATTTTATTCTCTCGAACTTATGCGTTTACATTTATTATCTATATACGAGTAAATCTACCTCAATAAAAATGTAAATATTTTTTTGTAAATTATCACAAATCTTCACAAGTTATTTATAGTAGCAATCGATTTTAAATTATTTAGTATATAGAGAATTGTTTTTATGCTATTTATAATGTTACTAGCAGAACCCGTGGCTTTGCTCGTGCTAAAACTACAAATAAGTCTCTAAAAAGGTAGTTTCATACAAACTTTCATCCCCTATTTTACCAAAATGCTAAAATACGTAGTTATTTAATTTTATTGAAGACCATTAATATCAACTTTCAAGTAATTCTGATCATAAATATTTTTTTGGATTGTATTATAGCGTATTTTCCCGTGGGAATTAAATACTCTCCCGCGGTAAAAAGTAACCTATGTCTCTCTCCAGCCCTTCAGCTATCTCCACACAAATGATCACGCCAATCCGTCCTTCCGTTTCGACGTAAAAGAAGGGCAAACAAACAAACACACTTTCACATTTATAATATTAGTACGGATAACTCGCTTTCACATGTTTAGTTGCAACGCATCAGTTTATGAATATTTTCGCGTTTATTTCTTTTCCTTAGACACAGTAACGAGTGTTCAGGAACAAACAGTACTTTACTAATATTTACTTTTTAGAAATCATATAAAAAAGTGTGTGTGTGTGCAATTCACACACGGTAGAACGGAAAGCGGAAAGCCTACAAGAGAATGAGATGAATATAGATTATCAGGAGTAGGAAAATTGTAAGGTTTATTTTTTTTATAATATTTTTACCAAACTTAAAAATTATTTTACATTTTATTTAACATTATATGTTATTCAGTATTATTTTGATTATTGTTTACTTCCTATCTAATGTATTCCATCTCATTCTCTCGCCGGCTTAATCTATAGCTAGCTATAGTTATATGTTTATGTGTTTGTCTCTTTGTCGTGACGCATTTTCATTTCATCGAGTTTCAAATGACAACGATTCTAATGAAGTTTCACTTCAAAATAGAATGTAATATGCTTACTTATAAAAAATAAAATATATCAGATGTGATTATGTTTAAAAAAAAAATTAAAACTCCCTCCGACTGCGTTCACGGATATTTAAAAAAAATATGAGTCAAAGCGAGTCTCACTTCTTTCTACGAGGGCTCTATATATTATCACGGTAATGTAATGCCATTACCGTGATATTATTGAATTTATAGGAATGTAAACTCTTAGGGGTTTCATGACATTTTTTTTATGTTGTTTTTTTGTTTCTTATGCCGAGTAGTTTTGAATTTATGATTATCGTAAATTTTCTTTTTACTTCCAAGAAGTCTCTGTTTTCTCGTAACATAATATAAATATTCAAGAAAAATCAGACTCTTTAAGATTCTAATTATATGTATAATATTTTAATTTTTATTACTAAAATGACAAGATTTTACAATAATTATTAAATTTTGTAACGTCGTTTCAGCCCTCCTTTCAAATGTATTTAAAGAATATCTCTAACTATATCGATGCAGTAATTCTCAAATGTGTCTGTATTTGGTGGATTGTAGAATTCAATAGATTTGAGATGAATAAGAGCTCTTGAATCCAAAGAGCTTTCCTCTGTTGATTAAGATGTGTTATTGTTCTAGGAAGAGGATTTTATTTTATCAGAAATGTTTGTATATGGGATGTTCAGTTTACAAAAGGTTAATATTATTAATATTATATAATCAATCTTGTTATATATGTATACTAGCGACTTACCCTCGCTTCGCTCAGGTTCGTACTTATGTACGTTTTGACGCTTAGTATGGAATAGATTTTTTTGTGAATTTTTAAAAAAATATTTTGCTATTCGAGGCGGAGAAAAATCCAACAAATTAAAGATCATAAAAATCGGTGCAGCAGTTCTAGACTTATAAGTGTTGTAACAAAACCAACTTTGTTTTATATATATATATATATATATATATTTCTATATATCTGTTCTATTGGGACGTATGCAATATATATATATATATATATATATATATATATATATATATATATATATATATATATACAATTTTTTAATATAATTAATAGTTTCTCAAGAATCATTATACTATAGAAACTTATTTATATTCATAATTAACGTTAAATACCATCTACGCCCAAATAGTTTTTTCATATAAAAAAATCTAAAGCAAAGTAATATTAAAAAACAAATTAAGTCATATCCTTTTCCAAGGCTTTTTCATTTTAAATTCATTTCATGCAAATGATTAATAACTTGTATATTCCAATTAGTATTCGCTTGATGAAAATAAATTACATTTTCTGTTTTTTGAAATACTCCTAATTCGTATAAGCTAACAAAGTTCTTGTAGTTAAGCCCGCAATTAATATGTAGGGACATTAACACACATCACCATATAGTTCCATGGTAAGCTACGTGTCTTGTGTTATGGATACCAAATAGTTCACATACTACACATATATAACTTTAAATACATACATATTATAAATATAAACACCCATGACTGGAGTACAAACATTTGTGCTCTAACACATAAATAAATGCCCCCAGCGGGATTCGAACCCGCGACCGCTGGCACAGCAAGTAGGGTAACTACAAACTGAGCCAAACGTGTCGTCAACAAAACGTGCAATTATATTATGTCGGTATCTACTAGAAATCAATCTATTACTTTTTTGTTAATCTATGTTTTATATACTACATATAAACTACTATTTAAAAGAAAATGAATAATGATTCATATTCAAATTATATATTGAATAATTTATTTATTGTATCTATAACGTGCAAGTTTATCGATTATTTAATCAGTGTCTTATCGTCAATCATAAAATTTTTAATTACCATTTGAGATAAGAAGCTCTTACTTTTCTAAAGATATTATTCCATTATATCTATGTTTAACATGCTGAGAAATATTACATGTAGGTGAAAGTAGTATTGATATTCTGGCATTAGTATACAGATCAGGGTCGCTTTCTACGCTTGTAGCAAATGCTATCCAACACATCTGGCGTACGTAATTGTGTTATAGGGAAAAACTTTCTTAATAAGAACGCTGCTTGCGAGCTCGTCTGTTCTATTGGGACGTATGCAATAATTAATTACTGGGACCTTTTAATACTTTACAAAGTATAATTTTGACCAATATGCTGTTTGCTAAATTCTAGAATATACAGGTTTCTTTATATTTTTCCATTATAATAATTAAAAAGAAGGTCAAAAGTGGCGTGGAGGCCCATGGTGTGGAGGTCCGTGGTGGGGTGGCCCATGATGTGGAGGTCCGTGGTGGGGTGGCCCATGATGTGGAGGTCCATGGTGAGGTGGCCCATGATAGGGAGGCCCGTAATGATGTGGTGGGCCGTGGTGTGGTGGGCCGTGGTGTGGTGGGCCGTGGTGGGGTGGCCCTAACGGAGGTGGTGGTGGGCCATGGGGATGTAGATGATGTGGCGGACCATGTGGTCCGTGTGGAGGCATAACTGTTCAAATAATAAAAAAATAATTTAAATACTTTTAATATTTTTAAGGAAGATTCCGTTTGTAGTAAATAAAGGTCATAAAATTCATAAAATTATTAAAAACGTTAATTATGTGTCGTTATACTCAAAGAACGGAGCAGCTTAGTGGGCCAAGCTTACTAGGAATTGAAGTTTCTTTGAAATATAATCACAATATGCAAAAGCGTCAACAAACAAAACACTATAACCGCTTAGAACGTTAGCCTTATTTATTTGGGTCAGGTCAATTTTTAGATTAGATAAAGATGATTAACATATAGATGACTTTCAGAATAATATTCGAGGCTGTAGTTTCAAACACCCAAATCCTTACAACTATATAGAAAAACATATATTAATAAGAAATAAAAAAAATATTCTTCGACTTTTTTTGGTGACTTCCACTGAAAGGGTTGAAAAATACACAACTAAAAGCTAAATGGAGATTTATGTTATTCTATACATTATATAAAATAATATCCATAGAATAAATAATGTATGTATATACCGTACTAAATCTATTTTTACTACTACTGATCACTACATACTACTATTTCTACAATCGTTACTTGAAACTTGAGATTTTAATTATTACAAATTGTACAAATTAGAAAACTCTTGCAAAACTATAAATTAGTCATTTTTATTATTGTACTGGTAAAAAAACAAAAACCATTTAAAATGTTTAAGTGGAACATGTTCAGCAGTAAATAACATAATTATCAATTTAACCAGTAGATTCTATTTTACTAATAATAAAAGAATAATATAAAAAGCGGTATTTTTACAAACAAATGAAAGTGTACTTAAAGCGATAACTCTTACACATAATAATATAATTAAAAATAGTTACCAAAATTACCTATTGTTGATTTTTCAATAAAAAATGAACACAATAAAATTGATCACTCTCTTGATGATGCGGAGTTGAATAGTGATACTAATATGTTCCCTTTTTCTATTTAATCTATGCTATATCAGTACCGATATGATAAGAACGCTATAAGTAATTGGAAAAACACAATTCGTCACTACTTTTCATATTGTTTTTTCTATTTTATTAGAAATAAAATTTTAACGAATCGAGGTATTATTTTAATTTATACGAATTTTTATACTAATGATGTATAGTATGGCCCAGCTTATGCATCAGAATGTGCCTATCTATATAAATTCAAATAAACCGCTTAATGCGTTGCCAAGCGTAAAACTCGAGAACAACTGGGTAATTCGGCAATTTTTTTTTATTCGAATTTTCGCTAAGGTCCGAGGAAGGTTCTTAAGAAGAAACAAATTGGAAAAAATGTCCGGAAAAACTAAAAACATAATTTTTCTAAATCCGCTACACACTTGATTTCACAGAACGAGTTCTGTCAGGTCCAGCTAGTTAAATATAAAATCAAACAAAATATATATATATATATATATATATATATATATATATATATATATATATATATATATAAAATAGTTGTCCTTGTGAATATGGTTCTTAATTAATATATGATAAATGTAGGAGGGAGCTTATGTTTATTTATACAGATTTATTCGATTTTAAATAAAACTTTATTGCAAACTATTATATGATAATAAAGTAATATTGAATTGGTTTCAGATAATTTGCGTTCAAATGAAAAAAATCAACATCTGGTTAGATATTTTCTTTGTTGACATTCCGACCACTATTCATCATCTTTTATAATGCGCCCAGCCAAGAAGTAGAATGTTCTGCCTGTGTCTGTTTCTCAGAGTGCGTATAACCTGAAACTGTTTAAGGCTTCTCCTGGGCAAACTCGCTACATCCTAGACCTTATCTATGTCTTCATGCTAAGATGACAGAGTAAGCCCATTTCTAATAAAAAAATATCTTAATAATTCCAAAAATATACTAAGTGTAATAGGTACTGTAGTTCACTGTATATTTATTATGAAAAGTTTGATTATGAAACAAATTTTTATTACCTAAATCAGAGTTAACAAACTGGTAACTCGGGGGCACAGACTACTCTAGAAACACTCAGGAGTCGTAAGTGGGTACTGTCTTATTATTTTGCTTATTATATTACTTTATAATGCTAGATTTGATTTGATATTATGGTACTAATGAAAATGCCTCACAGGAACAAGCGTTTCCTCGCCAGACTATATTTTCTCTTAGATACGCATAGATTTTTAGTTGATTGCCTTGCACTAATAAAAGAAGTGAAAGATCTAATTGCAGTCTTTCAACTATACCTTCATTTCTCCTTTATATATTTTCTTCTCAACACTTTTATTTTTATTCATTCTATCACACCAGACAACCTCTTAACCCTTTTTTGCAATCTGGCTGCGGAAATCTTAATTTGTAATCAGGGCAAATTTTAGGAAGCATTAGGAAAGTAAAACGTCTTTACATCTAAACAATACGCTCAAACTGTTTGAAAAATAATATTATCAATTCATGACAATCAATTTACTAGAATATTTTCAAATTTATGTATTATCATCAAATTATATATAGGTATTATGTGTTATGTGATAAAGTAAAGTAAGATAATAGTGAAAGTGACCACTGGTGAAAGTACTTAAAGACTTAAAAAAGACTATGTGTGTACCGCAACTGTGAATTGCTGTACGTGAGTTTTGTATACGGAATTTTCCTCACATCCCAGATCCTTAGCACGTAAAGAATATTTGTGGTAATTAATAAAATTAAAGTATCTGTCTATCTCTGTATTTGAAAAGATCATAAGCAAAAAGAGCACATAGAATATTTAAGTGACTAAGCAAAAAAAGGTTAATAAAAGTTTGTGTGTCTGTTGCCTGTTGTTTATATTCAAAAAAGCCAAATTGTCTGGACTTATAATGGACGGGATTTTTACCGATACGTTTTAAACGGTTTGAGCGAGAGTGGACCTTTTTTTGGAAAACATAAAATGCTCGAGATTTTAACTTATATTAAAAAATGTATCTGTATCTATTTTTGTGTAACTTTTATATTTATGTAAATATATATATTTTTTTCAAACCAACTCAATACATTTAGAAAATCATGAAAACTTCCAAGCACCCGCAGAATATCAATGTTTTAGTAATTGTTTAGAGTTTTCATCGTCCGTTTGTTTTGAAATTTTCTCAAAGAAGAAAATTGTATTTACTTATCGCGCTTCGTTTACTTACAAGGTATTTAAGTCCGTGTCGTCTTTTCTCGGTTTTGTGTTTGTAAAATGGAGTTTCCTTGTTAGAAGATGAAGCGGAATACATAATCGATTCTTTGAAGTATTTTATTAGCCGTTTCGTTTGTAATGCAACACTTGTTTTCAAACTTTTAATAAAGACATTGATGCTCTTATATTTTTCAATAAGAGAGTATTTTTGTTTATAATCTAATTTTGTTTTTATAAACTGACTGCTTCAGAAGATTTCGTATTTGGGCAAAAAACCACAAAAAAGTACGTTTATCATATAGAAAGTCACTCGGTTTTCTGTTTTATATTAATAATTTCTTATATTTTTCTGTTTTTGAAAAATGATATAAATAAAGGAGTAAACTAGAGTATCTTTTATAACGTGCATTAAGGATATTGCATTAAGTGAACATAAAAATCATTGCACAGATACAGTCTGGTAGCAGTTTTTTAAATAAACTAAGATAGTGAATAAAAAGGGTGTAACGACGATGTTGAAGCCGAAGTGTATTAAAAGTGCATTCAGCCGAATTTCGTTCATGTAACTTGCTCTTATATCTTAGAAATATGTTATTTATTGGGTTTCGCGCCTGTCATCGAAATGAAAAATGTTGTCATTACTTTAATAGTTACTTATCTAATTAAAGATAATCTTTGCACATTTTTTATTATAAATACTAAAGTGTTTGTTGGTTTGTTTCTCGTTCACTCAAAAACGGTCAACGGAGTGACATGATATTTTATTAAGAGCTAGCTAAAAATGACGATAATTATAGAACTGTCATCCCCATTTTCACCCCCTTAAGGAGTGATTTCTGAGATAAAACGTACCCTATGTCCTTCCCAGGGTCTTAAATTATCTTCTTACCAAATTTCATTTAAATCGGTTCAGTAGATCCAGAGATTACCCCCACAACGTCACAAACTCAAAATTCATAAACTCACAAACTCACAAACCTCTTTATAATATTAGTATAGATGTTTACCTTGGTGCATTAAATGCCCTGTGTAATATTAAGCAAAAAGTTGTTTAGGAGAGCTAAAAGTTACTTAAAGACGCACCTGAGCCGAGCGAGGGTGAGTTTGTGGAATGTAAACAAAATAGGAAAATAGAGATGTCGTATATATTTAGTTCAATTTCTTTCTTCGAATATCTCTCGATCGGGCATTATATCTTTACCATTACTTTTATGTTTAATCTCATTATTTCATTTTACATGCTTTTTTATTTTATTTATTAGATTCACCAGTGGCACTAGGTCTGATTTAAAACTCCAAAAAATGGTATTCTATAAAAAATATTATTTTCATTACGGATGTGGGTTTATTATTATATACATAGATATCATCTTGTGCAAGTGACCATTGTTTAATTATTATCCTACGCAAAGATAAAACCGACAAATATATGACAAATACAAAAAAATTTAGTCACCCCGCTTAATACTTATCGCGTTAGCGGTATCAAAATTGATATGTGGATAATCAGTATATAACAAATATGTGAGCTGTATCAGTCTATCAGTAATAGTACATTGTGCAAGATAAACAAGTAAGTTATTAGAATAATTATTTATTAATATTTATAACAATTTAAATTCATAGCAACATTAAATTAGTCACGTTAGAATTGGATTCACGCGTTAAGGGAATTATACCACTATACAGTTTGCCTTACTAATTTTCCAATCGAATAGGAATCATATTGATAAGTAATTCAAATTCTGCGTGCAAATTCGTCATAGACGTGGCTAGTTTTTATTATCTGTTGTTTTTATATTATTTATAATAACATCGAGTTTGACTCATTTTTTGTATTGCAGTATAAAAATAGCTGCTAATATATTAATTAACTCTTTTAACTGACTTTTTAATAAATAATATATTCAAATAATATTTCATGTACTGCTCTGAATTTCATGCAAATTGGGCGAATTTGGTCACTTCGTTAACTTACGATTTTGTTAGCTCAATATTAAACTGGTGTAAAATGAACAAGCATCATACATTTTCATTTTTAGTTGAGAGTGGTTATATAGTCATCACTGAATAAAGTCATTATATATATATATATATATATATACGTATATAAGTCGTGACAGATGTGCATTAATTGATATTTATTATTTTTCTTAGGATGGTTCCTCCACATGGTTTGCCCTGCGGGCCTTATTGCGGTAGTGCGGTGTGCTTGCCACACTGCATGTACCGTAACAGGCCACGCACACCAATTCAAGAGTGGATTCCGCCACCGTACAGCCCCTGCCCAAATCCACCTGCGTGTAACTGTCCACCTTGCTACGGTCATCCTCATGGCCCATACTATCCGCATGGACCACACAACCCGTCTGGACCACAATATCCACAAGGGCCTCATAATCCTCATGGACCACAGTATCCACCCTATCCACAATACCCACCTGGAGCACAACATCCACCTGGGGCACAAAATCCACAAAATCCACAATATCCATACAATAAGTATGATCACTTGATGAGATGAATTTCAATGTCTTATATACATGTCAAGAATTAAACAGAAGCTATTGATTATTATTTACATACTCATGTGAAAATCTCTATTTATTTATAGAATAAATTTATATGGACCTGAAAATTGACTTTATTGAATAGAAGATTCAGATTTTTTGACCCACTTCAAATTATGTAAATTTCTTAACTAAACTTAGTTTTGGGAACAATACATACTAACTAGCGACAAATACTAATAACTAATAGTACGAGCAGAGTAGGTATATGTAAGAGTTATAATGAAGAAGTTTCATTCAAGCCGTACATCTCCAAAACACTCGGAAACACGTGCGGACACATCGCGGAAGTCATGTGATTTTGCCTATAGAGTTCTAGAGTTTTGTGTTGTTCTGACTATATTAGAAATGTATACAATAAAAAACAATGGCTACGATGATACTGCAAAAATATAAACTGCATTATTGGTGCATACATTAAAACACATGATGATTTTTTTCCGTATTACATTTAAAGTGCAATAAATAATAAAATATGAAATAGTTATAGTAAACGCAGTAATGGCATTCATTATGAGTAAAGATATAAATAATATATTTTTTCGCTTCATACTTTCAACGAGATAAGAACTTTGATAAAACTCGGTTGTAGCTTCCCATCAGATTGACAATGCTTACTTTAAGTTGAATAAACGACTCAATGTGATAGTAAAAGTCAGTCTGAATAAAGATTAGTTTGAGTTTGATATAGATGGAACATGGAGAAAAAAGTGGAACGGTACACACAGTAAAGAAAGACTTTTAAGGAGAGTTCATAGACAAAGTTTCACCGGCACATAATATATATTAGCTTTATGTTCTAGTCTATGTGCTATTCGAGATTATAATCTATCTCTGCGCCGAATTTCATCAAGATCCGTTCAGCCGTTCTGGCGTGATTTAGTAACAAACATCTATCTAAACATTTAAACTTTATGATTTAAATCACTAATATTAGGTACCTAATTAACTACACTAATATTAGATATACATAGAATAATGTTAAGATATTTTGCAAATTTCACTCAATTATACTCGTAAATAAATGTCTAGTGTCAAACAAAATATGTTTATACTACGGGTATTTTATTCGCAATATCAAATAGGTATATTATATCAAGATAAGTTAGCACATGAAGATAAGTTAGTAGAATGATTTTCTTTATTCTTTTGAATACGTGATATTTATTTTTTTAATTTATAAATATATATACATCGCGTAGGATAAAAATAAGGCGTATGTTATCGACAGAACGAAGTACGTAAAATAATCACACATGTAGATAAATATTTTAATTCATTTTGATAAATTGATGATAATTGATGCGTATTATATACGCAGTCATTGCAATATTACTTTTATATAAAATACCTTTTAACGGTCAACCTACTTAGTAATAATATATAAGATTTGTATTATTACTGAATGCCGACGATTTTTTGTCCACAGTCCACTTTTCTTGTTTTACTGATGAAATGACCTTTATTTGTTTTGCGTCATCAGAAGATACCATGTTATGTGCACGTTGCAATGATTCAGTATCGTCCAACAAAAAATTGGAATATTTAAATCAACCGCCATCGATGAGAGCTACTACTATCATCGATATACCGATAATTTATACTGCAGACTGTAGAGTATTGGAGTCTTAACCTACTATATTATTATGCCTAATTTTGTGACCAGCTGTAAAAGGCGATACACTCGTAAATACCTGTAATATAATGATCGCGTAATCAAGTTTAGTTTCTGAGACGTTTAATATGACAATAAAAACCATCGGTTTCTGCCCGACTCGCCCTAGTATACAAATAATGACCTCAATCTCAAGTATTTTACCTGACCTCAAAGTATTTTATATAAACACTGTCCAGTAGAGCTTTTCGCTGTGTATTAAAGCAACTTTAATTGAACGAAATACGAGTACTTCTAAACGAGAATGAAGTACGCCTTTAATAAATAATAAATATTAATAACTCATATTTATGTATATCGATTGCGATCAATGGAGTATAAGTAAATAGTAGGTGTGCAATGGCACTATACTCGTGAGTTACGATTATGACGCGCTCTTCCGTCGCCTCTGGCCTCCAATATCCGGACCATCGTGACTCGCTGTGACTTTTTTGGTAGACGGTATCAAAAACACCTAAAAATGATTCATGCAATTTTACTTTGCGCATTTTTACAGGTGTTAAATTCTTTTAGACTTTATTAGCAGTATGCATTACAGTACTTGGAAATGGAATATTTTACGATAAGTTCGTTATCGACTTCTTGTTTTGATTTTTTGTGCTATCTTTAATTATGTTACTTTTTTTCAATTACCTGATATTTTACGAAAGCTGTTTCATCTATTTATACACATAATAAAATTCTGAGTCGAATCTGTACATTAAATATTTTTTGGAAAATCTTATTGAAATAGTCAATGAATATCGATACAGAGGCCGAATCTATAGTTTATAGAATTTTTGTCTGTCTGTATGTCTGTGACCTTATCAAAAGAAAACTACTGTAAAGATTTTGATGAAATTCGGTATGATGATAGCTGGTTATCCCGGTCAACATATAAAATACTTTTTGGTGCTGGAATGTTGGAAACGTTAAAACGTAATATAAAGTCATTATTATAATTTGTTATACAGACCTATAATATTGTTATTTGTATATATAACACGTAATAAATATAATATATGCGTATTCGTAGTTGTGCAACTTGTAACAGATGTCGGTTTGTTAATCACATAGTATCTGTTAAATATCCATCACGCTGCCAACTCTTACAAAATTATTTGATCGTAGTACAATTTGAGGAATCTTGGATGCTTTAAATAAATTAATCTAATAGGTATATGTACAATGTACATACATTAATTATAGTCATTTACGCAATCTGTAACATATTTTTTTTACTCTGTTTTTTTTCGGTAACTCCAATTTGAATGGGTGTGGTGATGTATAGTTGATGAAAATACGTCCAGTTGTTTAAAAGTTAAGAGCTCTTTTGAAATACATTTTGGGGCCATTTATTAATAACATCAATTTTAAATATTAAAAAAATATATATTTCTTATTTTCTATATTTAGGAACCGCTCTAAGTGTGGCATGTTTTTATTCGTTTATTATAATATCTTTAAAATTTCTTACAAATGCATTTTAAGATTAGGACGATCTTTCCGTTTTTGTGCTATCGTAGAATTTGTAATACATATTCAGAAGTGAGATTATAATGCTCACTTTAAAGTAAAACAAAATATAATACTATAATAGATACACTTGCGCTGCGATTTTGATCACTAATGAATAATAAATATATTCTACAATATTTTATTACTAAATTAATATTTTAGTGCGTTAAGGAACCATCTGTAAGTGAGCCTTTTTAATATTAAGTATTTATTATCGTATTCCTTACAAACCAATCCGATAAACAAACGTGATATAATATAGAACATCATTTAAATATTCTACTTTTCTGAACGAATATACGCTAAATAAAGTTAGAATTAAAATCTTTGAGTATAATACAACATTATTCTAAGAACATGAATATTAATTTAGAACATCGTTGAATAAATTTTTCAGTTATTGTTTTCTTAATATAATAATGTTCTTGTAAAGTTTGTTTGCATATAGTATGTTTTTTTAGGTTCAACTAAAAACATTTGACATTGGCACGGTGTTATGGTTGTGCGGGGTGCTGTTGTTTCATCTTAACCACAATTCGTGAGTTTTAAATAAAACTATTTTTTCTCTTATAGTCTCTCCCGTGATCATGATTGCTGTAAAGCATTCGCAACATCGGGAACCAAAAATCAAAATAAATTCGCGAAAAAATCCGAAAAGATAGTTTTATTAATTAAAATGTCAAGTTTTCGCGTAAATCTAAGAAAGTATTAACTCGTGTGTTCTGTAGTAACTTTTTGCAATATAATGGATAGTGGTAGCCCAGTGAACATGTGCTCTCTTAGAGTAAAGTGAAGCGGATTCAAACCTCGACCGTGATACCCCTGATATTTTCTTGTGCAAATCATTCTCAACATGGCCATGCCTTTTCTTACAATGAAGGAATACATCGAAAGGAAGACTGCATATCTCTACAAAATTTGTACTCATACTGTTCAATTAAACTAATGAGACACGTGTATCACAGTTTTTTCAAAATCTTCCCCCTACAGAGTCAATAGATAGATAGGGTTTCGATATTCCTACAAGGCATGGTAGACGGGCGCATGGCGGGCAGGGTGGCGCAGGGCGTGCGGGGAGCGGGTATGTTTGTGTATTAATTACTTAAAACATAAAGCCAAAGAATTTGTTTTTTGTAGTTATAACAGGCGCGAAGCTGCGGGTTCTGCTAGTTATACATAAGATATCGCTTTGTATTTTGTTTCAACACGAACTAAGTACAACCACTTTTACGTATTTAAAATATTAGTATCTATTAATTATTCAGTATAAGCATAGATCACACAACCCATAACCTAACCCATACTTAATAATATTATAAACTATAAATATTATAAATGTGAAAGTGTGTTTGTTTGTTTGTCCTGAGGGTGACATGCCAATGTCACCTATTTTTTATAGCGAAGGATTATCTCATTCCCACGGGAAAACACGTTTTATTTATGATCAGAATTACTTGAAACTTGGTATTAATGCTCTCTAATACAACTTAATAAATGAGTGTTTTAGCAATTTTCTAAATTCATCCCATAAGAGGGTAAAATAGGGAATGACTATTTTTATGAAACCTGCTTTTAAAATAAAACAATACGTACCATTATATATCAGATTTTTCAAAATTTATCCCATAGAAAGGTAAAAGGTTGTAATGTTTGAAGGAAAAAAAAATATGAATGAATGTAAGATTATGTTATTCTCACGGGTAAGTATGATATAATACAACAGAAAAAAATATTTATGGTGAAGAATCATCTGAATCTTAGTATTAGTGATCTTCAATT